AGTAATCTTGCTGCAATCAATAAATGCACGATTAAATACATTTCTGTTCTATTATACGACTCTGGCAATATACTTAACAAAAATATTTCTGGTTTGTTTTGCACTTCTATTCCCAAAATTCCTTCAATTATCTCTTTAATAGTTTTCCAATATTTTTTTAGGGTTTTTTTACATATCCACCATGTATGGTAAAAAGTGCCAATATTAGCCTTACACTTCCAACAGTTTTTCTGTAGGTTTTTGTTAATTTTATTAAGTCTATCTGGCATGATATGCCACCTGTAGAACATTTTCAGTACATTTTCCTTAAAATGACTTGCTTTAACATATTTAATATTTCTCGTCCAAACTTTAAACCACTCTTCTAATTCTATATTTCATCCTATATCACGCACCCAAGATATCATTGTGGACTTCACCCATTCATCTTGCATTTTATAGTCCAATAAGAACTTATTTTACCAATAACTCTTTTGTTATTTTTAATCCATATCTCGTCTAAACCTGTGTATTTACTATAAAAGCCTATTTTCTTATCTTTCACCCATCTTGACTTTAATTGCACCTTTCCCCACCAGGTTAGGTTCACCTTATGTGTTTCCAACATATCTTCTGTACATATTCTTCCTGTACATTTGTTACTTTACATCATATAACCAGGCTTAGGTAAAGGGCCATAACTCAGTACAAGGTCACAGGTTCAGCCACTGGCATCTCCATTTAAGGGATTTCATGGAGTAAAGCACTGAGAAATACTTTTGACTGAGGCCCTACGGAACGGCTTATGGTCCGAGTAGGAAGTACTTACCTGACTCTGCATACAAGGCAAGTTCACAATTTTATATGTTTACTTGTGTACCATATCTCCTGTGCTACTCAGGTAATGTCAGAAAATCACATGGAAAGAAGGAATCCATCATACAGCTCCTCCCCATGCTAGCATCGTTTCAAGTAGGGCAATTCTGGTATTGGAAGTAGTGAAGGTACAGAGCAACAAAGTCCTACATTGTATGGGCAATGTAGTCTTTATTTGGTCAGTTAGAAAAATTGTATCCCACCTTTCTGGCTAGTAAATTCATTAAAAAAAACCCCAAAAGAAAAATGCATATTAAAAACACATAAAACAGTAATTAAAATTTAGGACAGGAAGGAAAGATCATTGAGAGAATGCCGGACAAAACAAAAAGGCTTCACCCACTGGCAGAAGACAGTCACAGAAGGGGGGCAGGCAAATATTGCTGAAGAGAGTCCCATAGTTTTGATGTCATGGCCAAGAATGCCCTCTCTTGGGTTGCTACCCTCCTAATCTCCAAAGGTGGGGTCACCTGAAGCAGGACCTTGGAAGATGACCTTAATGGTAGGATAGGCTTGTATGGGAATAGGTGGCTGTTCAGGATTACTTGTGCTAGATCCTTGCAAGCATTTTTCTGTGAAGTAAAAAATAATTGGATGATATGAAACAATGCCAATTAATGCTCCACTGGTCCTTCTATCTACATTCCTAGACCTTGTAACCAAGTATATGTTTACACTTGAACAGGGTCATACACCTTGGATCTAAGGATCTCAAGGCTATGTAGATGTATAAGGGTATCTGTGTAACAGGGTTTTTAAGAGGTGCCGGAACTCTCAAAAGGGAAATGAAGTTTTCAGTCTGTATACTGAAAACTCATGAACTTTTAAACATTTTTAAAAAGAATTTTGTTGAAGAGGTCCCGGAACTCCATTCTTGCGTGTTCCCCCAGGAAAAAACCCTCCATGTGTAACACCAATCACCATCCCCTTTTCAGAGCACCATCCCTGAGCTCGCTTTGCGGGGTGGGCGGGGTAAAAATCCCAATAAATAAATAAATAAATAAATATAGACTCACAGGGTGCGTTCAGACGGGGGGGGGGGGTGGTCGGTCTATATTGCAGACGGCGCAGATGTAGGGCCTCGGCCCCTCCTCCAGGTAAGAGTTATTGCTTGCTATTCTCCCAAGGGTGTGATGCACAGAGACCACGAAGAAGATAGACAGGTTGCTTACCTGTAACTGGTGATCTTCGAGTGGTCATCTGTGCATTCACACCACCCGCCCTCCTTCCCCTCTGCTCTCGGCCCTTCATCTTGTTTCTTTGAAGGCTGTTGGGCGGCGGTCAGAAGGAACTGGCGGGATCTGCGTGCCCCTCCTTGGTCATGCGCAGTGGAGCCGGCGCGTGACCTGGGAGAGGCGCGAAAATCCCTTTTGCTAGCTACCGGTACCGAGAAGGTCAGCGCAGGCGCAGTATATCCCAAGGATGTGAATGCACAGATGACCACTCGAAGATCACCAGTTACAGGTAAGCAACCTGTCTCACTATATCCTCTGTGGGTATTGAAGAAATACCATTTGGAGATTGCTCTTTATATTACTAAACGTAAAAGAATTCAAGATTGGGGGAGGAGTTCTACTTTACTGATTGCAACAAACATTCTTTAATATGCAAGCAAGTGTTGTGATAAAACTAGTTGCTGGATCACTGTGGAAGTGACTGTGGGGTTCTGGTAAAGGAGCATCATTCCCCCCACCCATCAGTTAGTGTTGTGTGTTCGCTTCTATGCCATATCCATGGCAAAGATGTTGGGTCTGATGACTGAGAGTTCTACTCAGGCAGTGTACATGCTTGCAAATGAAGGTAAGTCAACAGAATTGGCAGAGGGGTAAGTGGTATTTTCCAGCGAGTCTTTTTCAGAGTCAGTCAGTTTGGTGCGAGAGCCAGTTTGGTAGTGGTTAAGTGCGCAGACTCTAATCTGGGAGAACCAGGTTTGATTCCCCACTCCTCCACTTGCAGCTGCTGGATGACCTTGGGCAAGCCATAGTTTTGTCAGAGCTGTTCTTGAAAGAGCAGTTCTCTCAGAGCTCTCTCAGCCCCACCTACCTCACAGGGTGTCTGTTGTGGGGAGGGGAAGGGAAAGGAGTTTGTAAGCTGCTCTGAGACTCCGAGTGAAGGGCGGGGTATTAATCCAATCTCTTCTTCTTCCTCATTTTTAAAATGCATGCTTGCTAAATTGCTGCTGAAATTAGGGTTAAATAGTGTGACTAGTCTCACCTGCATTATCAGGTGACTAATCAGGTCATGCTCTCCAGGTTAAAGGGCACGAAGAAAGTATGTCTGGAAGCAGCACCCTGTCACTCCTAGCTGGGTGGCATTGCAGGGGCAGCTTTCCAGGCATAAAATGAATTGGCCAATGGGTGGGCCTAAGCTTGTATTTTTTTTTTAACATAGTAGATCTAAGGGAATGCTCTACAAGCGGATGATTACATTTAAACATTTTACAGCAGTGAGTAGAGAACTCCCTTAGCTTTCAGTGCATGTTGACATCAATTGGGGATGACATTATGCTAGGCAACCTGTAAAGAGCAATAGGCACTTGTCTTAAACTCACCGTGATAAACTAGAGGAACAAAGCTGCTTAAAAATGCAAGCAGCAGCATAACTTTCAGTAAATAAAAAAATTAAAAAATAAGTTGAACATAAATGAGTCTTTAATTCTGCGTACAATATATTTTTATTTTTACTTAAATGTCATGCATTTTTAAAAATAAAGATGATAACCATCAGGTTATTTGTTGTTTAATACTGCGCTTTTCCAGAGTAACAACCAGGATGCCATAATCCAGTTTGAATGCATTGAGATTCATGTTTGTTAGTTTGTTTGTTTTTGAACTCATTTCCAAGAAAGCAATGTGTGTACAAAGGGCACCACGGCAACGCCTGGATCTGTTGAGAATGTGCCCTATTTTTAACATGCTGTATTGAGTGTCGGCATTACCAGTTTTAATCCCTGTCTGTGAGCACATTGGGATGTGTGCATGCGTGCACCCTCAGAGATCCCTTGTACAAACGGGAATGCAGCTGTATGCCTTGTTTATAGTACAGCAGTACATTCTTGAATAATTATAGTAAAAGACCTTGGCGGGTACTCTGTGAGCTACAGCTTGCTTTCAGACTGGTGAATGAGAAGGAACTCTTGCTGGGAGGGATTTCTTTTTTTAAGATAAAAAGAGAAAGGAAAACTTTAAAAAAAATAGAGAGGGAAGAAAAGCAGACATAGAAAGAAACATGCGGCTCCAGAGGGAAATACTCTGTGCTTTACAGTTGCTTGTGTGGATGGGAACCAGATGGTAGGCTGGGACACCCGCTCAGATAGCTGAGGAGCCAAACATATGGTTAATAGTTAGGAGAAATAGCTTTCAGAGCCAGGGCTTTGCTGACTGCTTCACATTACAGATTGTTACAGTGTGTCATTACATTGCCAAGCTAAGTGCTTAATACCCACTGCGGGCTCTGGGCACACACTTGCACGAATGACTGTGAGCTCTTTACTGGCACAAAGCAAGAAACTGATGTCATATTCAGCTTTAAAAATGCCACTTTCCTCTCCCTTCTTTGCCATGGTGAGGCTGTAGCATTCAGTATTTTACAGGCTGAGTCTCAGCAGTCAGCTTTCCTGTTCTGTTTCTCCCGCCATATGTGTGTGTTTGCTTAAACCATTCATTTCCAGGATGACTTTTAATAAACACAAAGGTTACCTGGATTGCAGCATTTCACTTACATGCCCACCGTTTGAAGTTCCTGTTTTGGAAGCTTTGGGCAACACTGGCCCCATGTTATCTAAGGAACTGCTGAGCTCATTCATCTGCTTTTCATGGCCCGCTTCCTTTTATTTTTAGCCAAATCCGTCAGGCCTGACAGGCGGGTAATTTGAGCCAGAGAGAGGGCAAAGCTCCAGGTCTGTTCCACAAAGCAATTCCTCCCTCCCTCCTGGGAAGACTCCAAACTTGGCCTGCTTGAGGCAGATGGATTTGTTGAGTCATGTGAGATCATTTACACAAAAACACAGTGAGGCAGTGAAGGGGGAAAAAAGTGTGGGGGAGTAGGAAAGGGGGGTTAAATGAGGAGGAGAAGTGGGTGGGTGGGTGGGAGAGCATGCAAGGGCTGTTGACTCTGCTGGCGAGTGTAGGAAATCTTCAGTGAAGCAGCTAGACAGAAGAATGCAGAAGATTCATTCTTGTACAAGGTAATGTCTAGTTTACAGTGCAGGGAGTAGCCATGGCAGAATCACTTGAAAACAGATCATTCCCTTTAAAATTAAAGCTGTAGTGTATGCAGTGTAAAGGAGTGTGCTTCCTTGACAAACGGGTTACAGTAGCAGTCAGACCACTTGACAGGATTGTATGTTGTTAAAATAAAAATACCCCGTGTGTTTAGAAAAGCCTTCTGTGTGATGCAATAGGGGTTTGCTTTGTCTTGATGCCAGCATGTGACTGGGTCTTGGGGGATGGGGGGGCCAGGATAGCGGGAAGAGTCGGAATGTAACGTGAGCTACACAGGCAGTTCTTTCCAGAAATGATTTAACAGGACAGCATGGGATGGAAAACATTCAGAATTTTGGTGCTCTGAATCCACACAAAGCAGGGTGATGTGTGGTGGGACTTGATTTTGTTCTAAAAAAACAGATGCAGGGCGGTACTTTTCATGACTGAGCAAATTGCACATATGTGCCAAAAGTTAGGTTTACTAGTGCAAGCAGCACAACTTGGAGGCAGAGAGGAAAGGCAGTTGGTGATTAGTATCATTTTGCTTTGTAATGGCAAATAATGGAAAACAGGAATAGAATTTGAAATACAGTATTTGTTTAGAACAGAGTTTGAGTCCAAAGGCACCTTTAAGACCAACAAAGTTTGATTCAAGTTGTAAGCTTTTGTGTGAAGTAGATGTGGGAATATTTGTTGCTTTAAAAATGAGACATAACTGACACAGTCTACATTAGGAAGGAGAGTAAAATACATAATTGAGACCTATTTGAACAGATGAAATGCAACAATAATGCATTACAAAAACGTGTGTTTTGTTTAATTAAAACGTTTATGTTCCAGTCCCTTCATGATGGAAGAAATAGTATTTTATACAGGAATGTTTCACTGTAATTACTAAAGTGTGCCTTGCATTGAAATCAGTATTTTGTTTTGAATCTGAGTGGATGGATTCCAGTTTTATTTTTATTTTCCTCTTCCTCTAATTTCTTTCTCCTAATTTTTCCTTCTTCCTAAAACAGCCTTATAGAACAGTTGAACTAGTTAAAATTTTATTCAGTCTCAGACCAGAATTCTTGATGCATTTTGATTTTGAATTTAAATTATTTTTGATGCATACACATTTTTATATATGTTTGGAGATGAATAGTGGCTCTAATTTGATAAGCTTTAAAAATGGTTTTGAGAAATAAGCAGTCACCTGTATTTTCTACTGTACAGTTGCTTGTTTCATGACTTCCTCTGTTTTTTAAATATATCCCCATTAGCAAGACCTTTCATCTTTTGTATGAGGACTTTTTTGCTGTTCTAGAGCCACTGCAGAACATCCATTTGTCATGTGTGCTTTCATCAGTGAGTCCATCCCAGTTCCCTAGCAAATCTATATTTATAACATATGTGATTGTTGCATTCACATACTATATTTTCATGGATACACTTTAAAATATGATGTTTGGTGGCTGAATTAGCAATTCATCAAAAATTTCCTTTGTTAGTTCCTTTTATACATGTGCTGGTAGACTTCTTCTAGAACTCTAGAAACAAATACTGGCATGTGTCAGACTTCTTAACAATTCTGTGGCCTTTCCTTTATACTGCATATTATACATGGAGATGGAATGTCTTGTGTAATTGTTTAACCTTGCTGCCTTCAAGAGTGTTGTCATACAGCACAGATTATTCCATGTTTGCTTCAGTCTTGAAGCACAGGCCTACTTTTCACTGAAGTACTAAGTAGCTGTGTTTGGTTGTACCACTTCAGATTGCAGTTGGAAGTTATTGTGATGGAATTAATCCTCTACAGGGGAAAAAAAATCACAGTACATATAGGTTAGTTACATTAGTGAGACCTAGGCCATAGACTCGTCCACTCCTTGAAGTTTGGGTACTTTTGAGGGCCTACCTACATATTGCAGTCCAACATATATAACGATCTGAAATCCTAGGGAAAAGCAGCTCCAACAGCGTTACCAAGTCTCTCCCCCCCCCAGCCACCAGTAGAGGATAAAGGGGTAGGCTTGCCAGATCCAGGTTTAGAAACTCTTGGAAATTTGGGGTGGAGCCTGGGGAGGACAGGGACATCAGGGAGTATAATGCCACAGACTCCGTCCTCCAGAGCATCCATTTCCTCCAGGGGAACTGATCTCTGTAGTCTGGAGATGAGCTGTAATTCTGGGGAATCCCCAGGTTCAAAGCATCCCTAGGCTCCAAGAGGCAGATTTGGAAAGAGAAAAGTGTGTACAACACTTTCCCTGTCTCTTGCTTGTTGACTCCATTCCCTTTATCTCCAAGCTGCCCTCCTCCCAGGGTTCCAAATATGGGCAAAAGTGACTTAGAGTGTGGGGGTGGGGTAGAATAGAGAAATAGAAGCATGTAGAGATGGGCATGGACCGGACAATGGACCTACGTTTTCCATGGACCTGGGTCCACTTTTTGGTCTGTGAGCCTGATCAATGACACGGACCACCTGCTGACATGGACCACCCAGGACTATTTCAAAAGGCCCATAGGTCTGGGGGGGTGCGGGGTGGCTTTTGGAAAGCCACACAGTGTACAAATGAAGTCCGAGTGGTGACTTCACCCACTTCCACATGGGCGAACTCACAGCTTGGCCTTCACTTGCATGCCAGGTGGCTTTGCAGAAGCCATTAAAAATGTAAATGGCATGGTTCAACGGACCATGGTTTGGTCTGTGAATGTGAAGGTTTATGGTCCGGGGGTCCGTAAACCCCACGGACATGAACTGTCATTTTTCTGGACTGTGCCCCTTCCTAGTAGCGTGTAAAGGATGTAGTAGCCTCCATCCAGCTATGTGTTTGCTTCAGTTCTCCTCCTGAAACTGACAGGGTTTTGTTATGTGTTTGTGTGTAATACTTATGAAGCTGCCTTATATTGAGACAGACCAGTTCATCTAGTTAATTATTGTCTGTTGTGATTTGCGGGTCTTGGGTAGAGAAAGGACTTTCCCAGTGCTTGGTGTTTTAGTTCATTTAACTGGAAATACCAGTATTTGAGCTGGGATTCTCTACATGCAAAACATGTGCTCTGCTTCCCACTGTGGAACATGTTCTTATCTGTAATATTTATGTTAGTGGGCTCATTCATACATTTACCAGAAGAGATCCTCCATATGCACAAGTACTTGCATTACCCCACTACACTGTCCTGGGTCAGAGCAGATTCAGCCAAGACCAAGGGGACGAGACAGAATCACTAACCAGAAGCACAAAGTCGAGAGTTCAGTCCAGGAGTCATACACAAGGGAAGCCAGTTGAGGGTCTGAGAAGCAGAGTCTGAGCAGGTCCAAGAGGCATGGTCAAGCAGGTGCGAGGTTGAAGGCCATGGTTCAGGAGTTGTAGTCGGGAACAGGTCCGGGTGGTGTGGTCATGCGTCTCCAGAAAGGTGATGAGTTGCTCCCACATCTCCCCCATCTGAAGCGCCGTCTTTTATTGGCGGCTCACAGCTGGGTCTTATTGCTTGCGAGAGAGCCATCCATTTGGCTCATTAACCCCAGGTGTTCCTCTTGATTTGGCAGTCGCCGAGCAGCGGGGTGCGCACTCTGCCTCCTCTCGAGGAGTTCCAAGCGCTCCTGCCTCCTCCTGCGTTCCCCTGGCTCCGGGGAAAGGGGAGGTGAGGCAGCCTGTGAAGTCTCCCCAAGACCTTGGGTTGTTGAGGCACTGCCTCTTGGGGTTGCCTCTTCCATGTTCCCAATTGCTCATGGGGCTGGAGTACATGCTGTCCTTAGCAATTGGAGCACTAGGACCTGCCTCTGCTGTCTCAGGGTCGTTGACCGCATCAGCTGGTTGAGTCTCACAGGTGCTGATGGGGGTGTTATCAGCATCAGCTGAGTGATCCTCAGCTAAAGCAGGCTGGCCCATGACACCATCCCACCCAGGGCCCCCCTCCCCTGGAGGCTTCAGCTTCAGCGGGTACATCTGATGGAACTGGTGTACCAGATCTGGGGCATGGAGGTGTTGGGCAAGTTCCCAGAATCTATTCTCCTGTCCATAGCCCTGCCACTCAACCAGGTATCGTAGTTGGCCTCTACGGTGATGAGAGTCAAGGATCTGGGCTACTTCATATTCTGGGTTTCCATTGACAAGGATGGGTGGTGGAGGGTCCATCTGTGGTTGCAAGGGGTCCAAGGTAATTACAGTCGGTATGCTACAGGGTTCACTTGTTCGGTAGCCAAATACGGTCCAATGAATCAGTTGTCCAGTTTGCAAGTTGGTCGTTGGCTCGGAAGGTACCACGTGGACAACCATGCTTTCTCACCTACTTGTAGTGGTTGGCCTGGTTGCTGATGACTATCCTCAGCGTCTTTGTAGGTGACTTTGATGTGTTGCAACTGGTCCCATAATAGCTCATTGATGGCTTGGAGTTCCTGCACACACTGATCCACTGCTGGAACATTGGAAGCAGGAGTGATGGCCCGGAAGAAGTGAGGATGGAATCTGTAGTTGGCCATAAATGGAGTCTGCCGCATTGAAGAGTGTTCAGCATTATTGTATACGAATTCGACCAGAGGGAGGAACGATGCCTAGTTGTCTTGCTGGTGGTTGGTATAACATCAGAGGTACTGTTCTAAGGTTGCATTTGTATGCTCCATCTGGCCATCTGACTGTGGGTGGTGTGCTGAGGAGAGATGCACCTGCATGCCTAGGTGGGTGTGCAGAGCCTTCCAGAACCGAGAAGTAAACTGTGCCCCTTGGTCAGGGATGATGTGTTCTGGCATGTCATGGAGCTTGAATATGTGCTGGAGATACAGTCATACCGTTTCTTGAGTGGAGGGGGAACCAGCACAGGGGATGAAGTGGGCCATTTTGGTAAAAAGGTCCACTATGGCCCCGATCACATGGGCAGGAAACTGCGGGGGAGAAGCGTGGCTGTTTGCCTGGGGCAAACTACTGCGCGGTTACGTGATCAGACCTCCCGTGGAGGTCCTGTGGAGGTACCGTGGAGGTTCCATGGCAAGGGAGAGGTG